CAGAATTGTTGTTACAGGCCCCTGTGTCAGATGATGAGTTCAGTGGATATTAGGGTCAGCAACTCCTTTTCCTTATATCATTTCTTAATTTGTATATATTTGTACAGGGTATCTATCATTGCAAGTCTCAAACACTGACCCTGATTTGAATGAAACTATTAAATTACATTGTATTTGAAGCGTGCCATAAAGAAACGACTTTCAAAGGGATAAAAAATCACGTGACATATGGTTCACTATATTCGAACATCGATCATGACGGACTCCGGGCAGATAACCATTTTGCCAATAAATTAATACAATACTTTCAGGATCCCTTTCTTGTGTCGAGGGTCGAGGATAGATTCGGCGAGGACGACATAAGTTCAGATTATTTGTTGGGTAATTTAGAATAACGCTGGACTTCTGACAAATAGTGTGTTTCATGGATGAAGTTTTCACTTTGGATCCTATTTGATACACACACATCCGAACCTGTTCTAGCCAGCTGGAGGACCCGCATCATTGCAGTAGTCAACCGTGACATTGAGTAGTGAGAATTATATTGATGATCGGGGTTGATTTTTAACGTTTTTATTGTGTTTGTGTTTATTTTTAATTGTTTCCAATGACAAAGTATAATGTTTTCAAAAGAAATAATGCAGAATATGTATAATTAAAATTGCTGAAACAGACGATATTTCTTATTGTTGTGTGTTGTTATGACAACCAGCATGTAATCTCGAGTTTAATCCCGCTGAAAACTTCTTTCTGTATTGATTTTCCCTCGGTGAGAATACATCACGATTATTTTTTAATGAAACAAAAATTAGACAAGTCAAAAAGTTATAAATAATTGGATTGAAAGTAAGTTTTTTAACTTTCACGCAGGCTTCATGCCATGTGTATGTTACCGCTGAATTTCATAGCACCATGAAAGTTTTTAAAAAACCCACTGATTTTCAATCCATATAAAAGCCGATTGTTACAAACCACAGAATATACCTATCTAGTTGTCACACGTGTTCCCAAATTATCTCTTGTATGAGTTTCATATGTAAACAATTTGAGGGACTTTACAATGTTTGACATTCTAGAATTATTATTAACCTCAGTTTTACATGTTTGTCCTATTTTCCAATGTCAATTATCTCCTCCCTGTATCGGATCTACGCGATCGTGGTTCAATTCCTCCGCGACCGCACATGAAAAGATATGGAATCATCTATCCGATCTCGTGGGTTTTCCCTGGGTATTCCTGATTCCGCAGCAAGATCCCACCTCCACCTCACCTTTAATTCGGTCAAACAATAATTATCCATGAAAAAAATATATAACGGGTCAATAACTTTTTAATCGATAAAAAGTGTATGTATCTTATTTAATTTGCTTATTCAGCTTTGTATACGATGTTTTATAAAACCTAAACTCTGTTAAAAGTGACATGCTACATGGACGATGCGGGAGTTTTTATTTATGGTTCAGCGGTGTCGACCTTTACTTTCTATAATACCAACTAGAATAATGACGTTCAGAAGCTCAACTATCTCAATGGATGATATTGATTCTGTCTTACTCTGATCCAATTCGATGTCTCATTTTGTATAAAAATCGATTTTATTCCACATTTTTGTCGATTACCACGACAGTTAGGAGTATAAATCCTATGAATTAAATGCCCGGATGTTAACATTGTCTTAAAGATTGTGATTCTTTTCCCCAAACAACTTTTATGATAAAAAAGAAACTGGAATTTTTTTTTAAATGTGCCTGTGTTGTGTTTTATTGCATTCTTGTTGAAACAAAATGGTATATGTAGCTATTTCTACTTGATATCATGAGTTACGTCCCTTAGCGCTTATCTAGCCGTTTGCACGAGAGCCAACATGTAGAATGGGGCCTGTCATGGGTGAGTGATTTTATCAAATTACACTCTGAACTAATACGAACTTAGTTGGTATTGTTTTACTCGGGAGATACGTGCAGTCATGGTTATATAGGTATCTGTTGTAGCCTACATAGAGGTTATACATCTACTAGTCCGTAATGATAAATATAAATATCCATGTTCAAAATCACAAACAAAAATAACCACCTTCAATGATTAGTGTTAAAATCAGAGTGTTACAATTTAGGTCAACAATATCTAATGAATAAAAACATCACATTCTATCATATGAGTGCATATGGTCAGTTATTTCCAAGGAAGCGCCAGTAAAACCCCAAATGAGAACCCCTGTAGTTTACCTGGACACGTGTGAACTATAGCCATCTCTTTCATGAGCTAATTTCTCATCGTCTGACTCTTTGTCCTATATATACGAAGAAATCATCTGGATTTTGTTTAAAACAAATATAACTGCAGGATAACTAGAATTTGAAAATACATTTGAATAGAACAATTGATTATTGAAATTTAAGGTTAATTAAAATTTGAAGATTAACAACTGAAAACTCTTGATCAAGGATTCGGATTGGACGGGATCTACAACATCTACCGTTAACTATATCTTAAAGTAACCCATTACACTAAGAAAAAGAAGGACAATGATAAGATATTGATTAACCAGAATATTTTTTAAAACATTTTTCTCTACTGTAGCAATGTTTCTATCCAATACAAATACATAGTACGGAGAAAATATTGAATTCATTGAACTCGTACATTTTATTTACCACTAAGATTGATGACTTACATTTAAATAGCAGTCAATAAGTCAATTCATTTATGTAATCCATTTGCTTGGTTGTTGCAACATCAATCCATGTTCTTCAATGAAGGATATACAATGTACTAAATGCAGTACTAGCCCGCAAACATATTCAAATCTTCTTTTAACAAAGTCTTGAAAGTCAGCTATGTCAGGTAAAATTAGAAACATATTTCTACTTTTCCTAGTTGTTTCAAATACTAGAAAATGCGTGTTTGTATCTATTTTGATATCTGATTATTATGATTGTCTAGAAACGTTCTCATTACAACATATAAATTGATATTTTCTGTACGATGATTGTATTATGGAATATTTTGCATAGAAAAACTGTATCAATTATACTTAATTATTATTACTGTCTCCATACCATTTTCCCGCAAAACACTCTCAATGTCCAAATTGATCTCGTTAACTTTGTGACAAATATTTTCTGATTCTTTTAAAAATAAAACGCGAGTTTGAGCTATTCGCAACTGAAATATCACCGTATATCGCAGAAAGTAATTTGTAAATCTGTGTCACTAAAATGCCATTAATTTTCCGTTTGACCAGTGTTACAGGATGGTTGAATCCATACATCTGTACTAGTTATAGATATACATTGATAGTAACAATGCAGTTACATTGTATATATATCATTAAAGAAACTACAATTTGTCCAAACAATACTTGATATTAAATACCATTAACATGTTGACAGTTTATTAGTATTTTGTGATAGCAGAAAGCACCATTCTTAATTTGATTCGCACTTCTAAAGGAAAACGTCAAGTCTCGCCATAAACTATGAAATTAGGAGTACTTTTCCCCATATTAAGATTTTTTTTACAGAACTGTAAGTGGATTTTTCAGCTATAGTTAAGTTTTCAAATCCCCGAATTTCTGACGAGTACAGTAATATAGGAGAAACAAAATATCAAATAATTTCAGTTGTAAATCAACTTGTAGACTAATATTTCTATTTTTCCATAGCAACATAACAGGGCTTTTCTGCTTGTTTTGATACTTTTTTCTTACCTTACAGAAGTAATCAGTGTGGTTAAATAATATTCCCAAGTATGAATGTGAGTCAAAAGCTTCAAGATGTTCATCAGAAAATGTAAATCTAACTTGATTTCTACATTTCATTATGTATTAACACTTAACTTCCAGATTTGACAATAACCATCATAGATATTTAGAGCTGTCCGTAAATCTTTAGCAAATTCAGGTTGAATTACAGTGTCATCTGCATACAAGCAAATATACATTTTCAAAAATCACCAATATTTTCTGAGAAGAAACCATCTTCTTCTTGAAGACACCTCATTTCTGATAAGACGGATGGAGAACGGGGATAAAAAGAAGGCCTGCCGCCGAGGTGTGAAAGTTAACTGCCCTGGGACGCATAGCAATTAGCAAATATATCCTGGATAAACTTAATGATGATGAGCCAAGTGGTACATGGGCCATTTCAGGATGGAGTCGACAAACGTCTGAAATATGTGCTGAATATGAGATGGCGGTGTTGTGAGAAAATAATTACTCTGTGTTCATGGAAGGGGATATAAATATTCATGGTACATAATGGCTTTATCAATTTAGAAGATCTTACTTGTGTGGGTTTCAATTAAAAAAGACACAACTAATTTTCTTCTAAAATTTTTGAAATTATATTTTTGTAACGAAGAAATGTTAAATGTATTGATCAGAGGCAGACATTCTGGAATTTTTATATGCAAATCGATAATTTTTTATCTTTCTGAAATGCCGCTATGTAATCTATCTTAAAAAATCGTTCACCTGAAGCGAGAAATCCGCGCATGCGCGAGCTGGACGTCCTAAATGGCTGCATATGACATACTTACATTACAACTTGACAAAAATGTCGGCATCCATAAAATTAAAATAAATTTTGAAGTTGGACGTTCGCCGAGAATTGTAAAGGTCACTTCCTCAAATTCCAGGCGATTTCCACTACCCCTTCCCAACTCGGATTTGGTACTGTTGACAATGATATATTTGAATGGATTCAGTTTATCACATATTGGGTAGTCCAAAAGTTTTGTTAAGAAATACTCAACCACAACATTTTCTGGCGAGTTATCTCCCCTCCCCATGAAACGTCATTTTAGTTTCTTGAGTCTGTCTTGATAACAGCTCTTTTCTTTTAATTCTGATATCTGTTTTACATTCACATGTATTTACCCAAGTGATGTTCCCGCCAAGAATGAACAGCAACTTCATGATTATGACGTCATTTCCGTTTATTATTTGGACGTCGTAAAACTATTCAAACATGTTTTAATATCTTTGTGAAACTAAGCGATGGAAATCTCCATTGTGGAGATTCCCTCGCCAGACTTGGTGAATACCGGGACCAGGACCAGTTTAGATACGGCGATTGACGATCTGCATTCTCCTGGAACCGAAGAGGCAGAGTCGAAAAATTCTAAGGACAAAGATGATGATCGTGAACAGCATGCGTCTCCTAAAAACAGGGAGGTAGGTAACGGAGTACAAACACCTCGATAAACTTACAACCTAATATGGTCTACTTGTTCGTTATTTACTAGTCAATGGTGGTAGTTTTCAACATTGTGACCTAATGCATTCGACTCGTTTGTCGTCCAATCAGAAGTGTCAGCGGCTGGACACGGGAGTCGCCAGAACGATCTAGACTATATGTCAAGTAAAAGTTCTTATAATCCTAGAAATATGATGGATTGTGTTATATATTGTATGCTTAATACATTAGCAATATAATAATTTCATACATGATTCCAGCTATCCAACTATTTCATTATAATAACTAAAATGTCTGAGACCTAATCTGTGGGGTTACTTTGGAAACCACTGACGCTTGTTTTGGTCATTCGTATATAAGCTTACCCACTGATGTGTAACGCTACTAAACAGGTCCTCGTGAACCAGCAGTATCCGAATATGTTATAGTTTTGAATTTATTATATTGTTAGACAGAAGAGAATTCACAGCCAGGAAATGACACCGCATCACAGGATTCAGTAAACTTGGCGTCGCCATCTTGTTCAACATCAGAGGAAAGTGTCTGCCGCATTTGCCAAGGATCGAACAAAGACACGGGTAAATTATAATTCATATCATACGCAGAACAAAAACCATCTGAAATAGAAAGCTAAAGATTCGGACAGACAGGCCATGCTGGTTGTTAGTTCAATTTGTATACAATAGCGTTATATTACAAAATGTTTTAATGTTCCCGCTCTCCATTGAGTCAATATTCTCCATTGAGTCAATGTTATTTACTGAGTCACCGTTCTCCAATAAGTAATGCTATCCACTGACTCAATATTCCCTACCGAGTCAATGATCTCATAAAGGCAATGTTCCACAATGACTGAATAATTACCACTGAGTCAGTGTTCACCTATGAGTCAATATTCTTCACCGAGTCAGTGCTCTCCACAGAGACAATTTGCCCTGCTGAGTCAATGCTCCCCAACGATTCATTGCACATGCTAATGATTTTGTGAAATGCATTTGGTACCTCAATTCCCATTAAGAAAATTCATTTAAAAGTAAATCAATTCAACTCCATTGTGGTATGTAATCGGTATTTCTCGCAACAACAAATACAGAGAGTTCTAATACGAGCTAAAGGACACCCCTTACGTCCCCGACCTCGCGTATATTTTGTTTTAATGAGTAAGGTTTTTTTTTTACGTTGGAAAAAAATATCACATAGACTGTTTACAACACAGATGAACCGATACAGACCACGCGCTGTGCTTGTAAGGGGGCAACAGCCCGTATCCACCGGTCGTGTCTTCGGGAATGGGTTCGACACCAGCGGAGCGTGCGCTGCGAAATCTGTCGGGGACGGTTTGAGGGTATTAGCCCCCCTGGATCACTGGAACGATCCCTTGACCGCCATCTGGAGCAGAATTACATGCCAGCCGAGGATATCACGGTAACAATTAAATTCATGTACTTGCTCTCAAAGAAACCTATCTTTCATAATTTGTTTCAACACACTGTTCGATGTAAAATATTCTCTCATATCATCATTTTTGTGTTCTCTTTTGACCAGAAAACAGTGAAGCACTTGCTAACCTTTAACATTTCATATTTGTTATATAATCTTTTTGCTTGTGGGTCCAACCGCATTGTATTTCCATTCAATCAATTTTAGGACATATTGATTTTGTGGTGTTGTTTACATTGTTGGTTACGTCTCAACGACCACAGTCGTTCTCTTAACATTTAGTTTATAGTATATTTTGTAACGTATACTCACCTAATCCCGAAAATAAATACTTGATAATGTTTAACAGTGTGTCCAGTAATGACAAATAATTTCTTTACGACTGTGGTTAATATTTTGGTACGTGCCAACACGCATGAAATATACCAGATTATTAGAACCACGGGTGAAATTTACCAGATTATCAGAACCACGAGTGAAATATACCAGATTATCAGTACCACGAGTGAAATATACCAGATTATCAGAACCACGAGTGAAATATACCAGATTATTAGGAACACGAGTGAAATATACCAGATTATTAGAACCACGAGTGAAATATACCAGATTATTAGAACCACGATTGAAATATACCAGATTATCAGAACCACGAGTGAAATATATACAGAACCACGAGTGAAATATACCAGATTATCAGAACCACGAGTGAAATATACCAGATTATTAGGAACACGAGTGAAATATACCAGATTAGGAACACGAGTGAAATTTACCAGATTATCAGAACCACGAGTGAAATATACCAGATTATTAGAACCACGATTGAAATTTACCAGATTATCAGAACCACGAGTGAAATATACCAGATTATTAGGAACACGAGTGAATTATCAGAACCCAGTGGTTAGTGAAATATACCAGATTATCAGAACCACGAGTGAAATATACCAGATTATCAGAACCACGAGTGAAATATACCAGATTATCAGAACCACGAGTGAAATATACTAGATTATTAGAAACACGAGTGAAATATACCAGATTATCAGAACCACGAGTGAAATATACCAGGTATTAGAAACAAGAGTGAATTTACCAGATTATTAGAAACATGAGTGAAATATACCAGATTGTTAGAAACAAGAGGGAAATATATTATTATGCTGAAAATACATAATGAATATTTTCTTCATCACATTTTTTTAATAATGAAGGTAAATTTTCCAAGATGAAAAAGAATAGAATTCTGCAAAAGCGTACCTTATCGCTGTAATGAAAGACAGCATTTCCACAAATCTGATATTCTTCTATATATCTCTGTTGAAAATGTCATATATTATTTTTCCTTAGCCCGGTGTATTTGCAAAGTGTTGTTATAGATCTGCTTTGAATCATTAAGCTGATTGTAACTCGTCATTGTATTAGTTGACATACAGATAGCAGCAAAGCAAGGGAGCCTGAAGTTGGAGCCAAGTTCCTAAAACAGAACTAACGAGTTAGCTCAATTGGTAGAGCGTCCGCCTATAGCTCGTATGTTCGCCCTTATTAGATTGGGAAGGGACGTAACTCTGTCCAGCAAGTTTTAGATTAAGTGTTTAATCACTTAGAGTTATTTGAAAGCTTTTTAAGACTGCATATAACTGTAGTAGTCGTGCTTCTTCGTATACCAAAACCACAACTCTGAGGGTTCGTTTAAGCGTTTATTTTCAGATAGTAATAAAAAAAAACCTGCAACAGATACAACATATATTACTACCAATCACACCTATTACACACTAAGAATATCACAAAATCAATGAATGTCATCATGACCGTAGTCAGTTACTTATTTAACAATTACACTGTTAACTACATTCCTATAAATTACACAGAAATCACAGCTTAATTATAAATTAACGAATATATAATATTAGACATTAATACACATAAAATACCCACCTCTTCAATGCGAAGGTTTTTTTTCCCGGACGAAGTCCGCCGAGCACCAATTCTGGCTCGAAGCTTATACTATACAAAAGGAAAGTACGATACACATCAAAGTCTTCTTCTTTAAAACTGTAGACCTATACGCTTATTACAAAATGTAAATTGACCACACCCAATATTTGAATTCACTAGATTCCGAAAACATTTACTTCTACTTGAAACAAAACTATTACGTAAATTAAATATATTATTAAATAGATACTATATTAAATTATACTTATAGTTACATACTAAGTATCGGGTACTTACATTACTCATATAGCTAGTGTCCCACAAATAGCAATTATGACTAGGTAACTTGTTAATGTTGCCGCATCGGCCGCTCTGCCCAAAATGACCACTGCGCTCCCAGATCACCCAATATCCCCCGTAAATATACTAATAATAGATAAGACAGACTGTACAAACTGGTTTACAAATACAAACGTAACATCCATCTCGCGCTCCACTCTCACTTTCACGTGCCATACTCGCGCGCGCGCTAAAATCCATGTCGCAATGCGCCACGTACCGAATAATACGAAAGGCCGACTTCCGGTTCTGACACGCCTAACGATAATATTAAAACAATAACAAATGCATATAGCACATATTAAAATAATGTCAAAATAACATTACTACATAATATCAAGGATTTGGGCTCTTATTAGAATGTTGGACGAAGTTACACTGTAGCTGGCTCTCGCAAACTCATACAATTTTTGATGCGATAACATTTTCTTACTATTGACTTACACGTGTACATGTTCATGATGTTGCCTGTCTTATTGTTACAGGAGACGCTCCACCAGTTATACCATCACCTACATCGTCTCCGGCCGTTTACCAGGCGGAGACGTGCAGCCATAGCGGCAACCATTGTCTTCCTTGCCCTCGTCACGTGTATGTCCGCCATTATGACCGTGGAGGCTGACCGAGAATACCGCCGTATATCTTCAAATCCCTGGTCAACTCGTCACGCTGTTGACCAGTCTGGAGTTATATTTTGTATCTGCGTGGCCTCGGCGTTCTTTTGTGCCACACTGACCATCGGTTTGCTCGTGATCTGGGGCGGCGTGGAAGGCACATACTACGTGCAGCGCCGCGCTCTCTACCGCCGAGTCGAACGGAGCGTATTAGAGAGCATGCGCAGACATGATAATGTAATAAACATAGTATAATCATGTGATACAGTAATTTCGACTGTTATATATATAATGTAACTGTGATTACTTAACCAGACTGCCACGGGTAAAATGTTTGGTCCTACTCTCGCATTGAGAAGGGGTAAGGCGATTTAAGCAAAGGAGAATAAACATCCACCTGTGGATAGGTTCGTCCGTCCGTTCATTCATCCATGCCAGCATTATGGGGTACATATTAAAAATATATAATTCTTTATAATATGTCGAATTATAGAAATACGTCATGGGTAACTATTTTTTTTGAGAAATAGTTTAGAGGGGAATCTGATGTACATGTTACATGTAGTATCGTCACGATTCTGATATTTGCTATGCTTTTGCAGGCAGGATTTACGAAGGCTCGGCGTCGTGTACTAGAAACATCATTATTTGTTCTACTTTTAGCTTTGATATCGTTGTAAAGACAAGAGTTTCTCGGACGAATAACGTGGGTAGCATTTGATATTACTGACATCGATTAGATGTCTATGATAAAGTCCACCGAAGCCTGATAGGGCATATTGATCATGTTTCTATACAACACAAAAATCGTGACAATATGTTCATTTTCTTAATAACTGTTGTCTATAATGATTGCAGAATGTGGAAATGTTATTGTTTTTGGCGGAGGGCACGTAGATAATTACTAATCTGTGTACGGTGCCCGTCACAACTGGAGTGGGTGAAGGACGCTCACAAATACCAACACTTCGTTCACCTTTAGATGCTTCTTTGAGCAAGGCAGTAAACACTTTGGGGGTAATCTACGGTGTTCTGCTCAACATATCAGATATCGATAAAGAAAACGCATAATATATTGAAATTTTAAATGGAATTCCAATGAATGTATGATTTATGAAACGAGTTAAAGATTTTCTTTTCATTTGAAAAGTCGGATGAAATGAAAAAAGTGTCTAATATCATAAATCACATATCAAATGGAATATATCTATCTCATCACCTGAACTGGAACAACGTGTATGTAGAATAGTTCTTGTAACACAACCAGTAGACGATTTAAGTGTCACGTTCCGAGGCTTGATCAGTGTGAAGCATACTTACACTGACGCCCGGAGCAAACCAGATGATGAGAAATCGACCAGAATTTTTCAGTTGTACTATAATCATATGTACGCTCAGCTAAAAAATAGTGTCACGAGATAATAGAAAGATTACAAAAAAAATAACAATATAACAACTATGTAGTCGATTCGACTACGCTTTGTTTAACACTTGGTCATAAATGTGCGCGAGTCTGTGCCCCCTCGTCTCTGTTTAGTACTTTTTTTTATGTTAAACGGTAGTCTGATCAATATGAAATTTAGGTTGTGGCAGGAGGAAAGGACACAGCAGGGGAAATAGGGTTGGGGGGGGGGGGCGTTTTGAAATCCTATGATCAAATTTAGTAAGAGGCAACCTTGGATGAAGAAGCAAAGAATAAACGATGAGTCTTGGGTACAAGGTCTGTGGTGCGAACCCCGACACATTTAGAGAGGTTTAGAAAAAACAACATTTTCTGTAGATTGTACAAAAGACCAATGAATAGCACCTTTAAATACAATTTAAAAATTAGATACAGCAGAGCCAAACAATTATTCATATTGCATCATATAGTTGTTGCGTCCTTCTGGGCTCTTAAATTATTGACACGGGCCATGGATTGTCCAGGAACGGTGATTTCGGCTTCACAGTCTTTACAAGGTTGAAGTGAAGTTCATAGTCAAACATTTATTTTTATTATGGTTTGCATGGAGTCGGTGAACATCATAGCTAATAAAAAGAGAGGGAATTGTGGATAGAAATAGTCATTCTCACATAGCTGCCGCTATAGATGGTTAGATTTTCATGTCACAGCCGATAAGAAATGGTCACAACATCTTAAAGTATGTGTAAAGTTAAGCTATATTATAAGTTATAAAACTTAAAACTGTATAAAACCATTCCAAAATAAGATAAGATAGGAGCGACCCATATCGGGAATTTCGGATTAGGAGACAAAATAGATTTATAGAAAATACGGAAACGTTAAAGTAACATTCTCAGACCACAATTTCGATTTTTTTATGTCTATCAATAGTTCCAGTGGAAATATCTTAAGTATATATGACTTTTAAGAGAAAGCCTCACAGTGAAAGATAAACGCAACGGCGGCGGCTTCAGCGGCTCTTACAACGAGTCCAGAAACGGGAAATTGAACAAGAATATGTCTTTTCTTCAAGAATCGCAATATTTTGCACTAGAATAGTTGTTAACCAAAAATGAAAATTGATATCAGAACTGATGCAATTAAGAAGTTGGAGGAAATATGCAAAATAAATTCTGGGATATGCGAGGAAAGAATTTTATCACTGGAAAAATAATCTCCTGGAAATTTGACGAGGAGAAGGGGAGGTAACTTATCACTGACGGGAAAGCCGAGGAAGTAAAAGCCCAACCACGAAAATGTTTGATCAATGAGAGGAAATCGCTAGAATGTAATGTTGTGATTTTACGTGATGAGAGTATCCGATACTACATAGGCCGCAAACACGATCCTAAATGTGATGTCGGAGACAGTGATAATTTAAAATATATCAGGTTGGGAAGGTTCATTATAGAGAGTAAGGTGATAAAATCTTGTCCATTAGTGGTGTCACTCGTGACCACTGGGAGACAGTGAAGAATTCATGAAGTACAGGATCAGAATCTCACCAGAGTAGAAAGGGGAAAACGCAGGAAGACAAAACCAAATAGGGTACCAGCTCATCGCGGGTACATGTTTACAAAGTCAGAGGTCAATCCTGGACAAGGAGGGCAATCAAAATAAAACAACAAATAAACCAGAAACAGCAACAGAGGCGTTTGAATTTTTTTACACTAATTCATATCATGACTAAAAAAATGATCAGAATTGAGTGATAGACACCAGATAACATAAGCCAGATAAATCCAAAGCCAGATTCTAGGATATGACAGCAGCGGTTTCCAAATGTTTGGCACACATGTAAGTAGTTACCAGTGAAGATTGTTTCAGAAATACTTGTGGAATCCGATTTTCAGGAGAACCTGTTTGTGGAAATTAAGCTGAAAAAACGATAGAAGATTTCTTGACAAACCTACACCAGAGCTGATCAGAAAGGAGTTTTAAATAAGTGCTTTATTCAAACCAGCAAATTTAGGTATGACAATGTAAAAATGGACGGTCTTATTAGCTGGACAGTTATCGAACGACTGGAGATATAGTGCGAACAGAAAAACAAATAACATACTAAGATCCATTCTGAAAGACCATGAAGTACACAAGGAATAAGGAAAACAACAAAGTTAAGATTCAAGTAGTAAATCTCATTTGCAAACTTTGGAAAGAATTCGAACACAATCTGGCAGCCAAAGTGAATTCAAATCCAATGGCTATATAGGGCGATGCATCAATTACAAGGTAAACCTATAACTGGTATCGACGATCTGTACAGTGCAACGGAGAATAAAAACTCTTCCAATGTTACAAGATTTTACAAAAGACACACAAGTGAAAGAGAAAAAAGGACAGGTGTTCTGGCAAACGTTTCCAGTGTTTGTAATAGACAGAATTGAAGGCTAACCGATAATTCAAAACAAAAACAGTCAATGCAGATATGTTATCGTCGAAGTTCATAAATAAGACGTGCACGCGTATCTTACAAACTAAAAGTCAGGAAAGTCACCAGGATGAGGTGAACTACACCTTGCATACCTGAAAAACAATCAAATCTATTTGTGGGCTGCTACCTCAGCAGGCTCCCGAATACAGGTACAAACTCCAATTGTATTAGACTTGAAGGTAAGGACAGACGTGCACCTAGCTTAAAGGCTTACACTGGAACTGAGGCTGGATGATATCAATTTACGTTTACATAGCAAATTATGAACTAAACAATTATCAGATGAAAAAAGACAAGGAATAATCTTGGACCTTCCTGCCCTAAATCCATAGTGGTCATCAATTGACCTTATCTGACACCGGTCACCGAGCCAGTCGCCCTAACAGATCTAGCAAACAAGACGGTCAACAGTTGAAAGATAACTGACACGAATTCACAACTTGTAGGTCGTTACATTTAACACGGACTGATAACAGAACTCAGCAATCACTCACTATCCAACGGAGACTGAAAAAAAACAAAGGCGTGCGACATATGCAAGAAAGGTGATATATGTGAGACCGGACATTTTTTGCCCAATCAGCATGGCATCAGTATGGTGTAAAATCCTGAAATGTTTCAAGGAACCATAAAACTAAGCACATACGGAGAAACAGCAAAACAATAAAGTACATCTTCCTTTCATTTATACGAAGTTTTAATTATGGACAGAAGTACTGGATATATGGATTACATGAAAGCCTGTGACACGTTTCCACCTTTGCTTCTCATTAGTAAGCTGCTGTAGTGGCTTGTAACGGTCATCTACTTGTTGTGTTTAAAGAAATTAAAGTTTCAAGCATTTATTCTGCAAACTATACTTTGTATGAGTGTGAAATATTGTTCAAATTAATAAACATATATATGCTTATAGCGGGATACGGTGTGCAGATAAGGAAAGAGTGTTGTATGTACACTAAAGAAGGTAATTCTAATCCCGGTCTGTTGATTTCTTTCTATAAAAAAAAAAAAAAAAGATGGTTGAACAAGAATATTTCTCGACTGAAGAACTATTTCCGGTTTAAGGACCTACGGATATCATTGGTAATATATATGGGAAGGGAGGTAACTCAGTTTTTGAAGAGCTGTACTCTTGTAAGTTTCATACAAGATATGCGATATAATACCAATACACACCCTGAACGGATATTACGCCCATCTTCTTCTTTTCCCTTTTACGTTAGAGTTAGCCACGCCTTCTATAGTCACATGACTCCACTTGTGCATATTTATGCAGTTATCACCTCAACGCTGTGATTATGCAATGATTTGTCTGAATGGAAAGTTACCAGAGGATTCCTTTTTTCTGGTGAAATGATGTTTATAACTGTTGTCTATTTCTATAATATACGTCGTAAATAAAACGTGAAATATTGTGTTGGGGGATTTTGTTAAGTCACGTTGTCGAGTTTCTGCTCTAATAGAAGATAATGAAAAAGAACGTAAATGTTTGTAGTGAACTTTAAAACAACAATAATGTTTATAGATAAGAGACTTTTCAATCCGTGTGCGCCAAGCTTGCGAAAATGAAGATTTCTTTTCACTGTTATCGTTTGAATGCCGACCTAGTCACATGTCGCTTTCCTAACCCCTTGTATGGCTGGAGTTCTGACGTTCGTCCAGGCACCAGTAACCAAAAGCTTAGTTAGAATTTACTAGTGGTCTGTGAAATAGTTTAATTGCTACTATTGATAAAACAAGAACTTTCAGAGCGAGATTGATATTTTTGAATTTTTTAAATTTGCTGTCGGGAAGTGATAAAGAATGCACCAATTTTATTAGATTTATTTTCACCGACTACTGGCTAGCTGTGATCAACTAGGGTCAGCACGATGTCAGTAAGACCAGCGAACATCAGGGTAGTCCAAAGTAGCATCACACGTGTCCAGCAGTTATCTCCGGGAGAGGGAGCTATTTACCCTTCAGGTTGACCAGGGGACAGGGATCACTCTATCTAAACCTGTACCAGGTATTCAACTGGTCATTTTAGCAGGATGAACACGTGATGTCTACAATTACAGGAACAATTGGTCATTTTAGCAGGATGAACACGTGATGTCTACAATCACAGGAATAGGAATTTTAATTCTAAGCTTCATTAGATATTTATGTAGACGCTCATATCACTTTGAAAAAGTCAATTTCCTAACAAGAATATACGCGTATGATACCCACTGTTGTAACCCAATCCACTATTAAAAACCCGATTACACTAATCTGCATCCGCTAGATCCGGTTACAGAAGTTAGTGTTACACATGTCGTTTTATTGAAGACTCTAGTCCGAATTACTTTGACGTTCTATCGACTTTTACAGATGTTTATATCGGCTCTGTCCCTATATTCTGCGTTTCCCGAATTATCTTCTGATTTCCTCTTTTTTTGTAAGGACGAAGTTCTATCGTTCTGACTCAAAGCCGATATATAAAAGTCGATAAAACGACGGATTAGTTCGGCTTAATAAGACTCCATATTGAACTATTCCATCACCTATGGCATTAATAAGATATCAATTGGGGATTTCATTTGTCATCCAAATCATATTCCTGGCATAAAATCCTATATCAGGATTTTTACAGTAATTGTCGTCGTCAGGAATGAATTCTGGTCACGCACGACATCGGGTACATTTGCAAACTTCCTGCACTGACAGAGAATGACAGCAATGCTCTAACTCTCCGAGACCTAGATATGGAGCAATCGTAAAAATATTATCATTTGACGTCCGATGTTGATGTATTGTTAACATAGTAAACATATCAAAATACGAATTTCTACATTCTACTCCTAAAAAGTAACTTGATAAAAATTACCGTTGGTTTACACTGACAGCAGATCCGGCGTCATGCGCACAGCTTGGTTTACACTGACAGCAGTTCCGGTGTCATGCGCACAGCTAGAGTGTCAATTCCTTCCGGTCTTAGTTGACTACTCGCTATTTTAAGAATTAATTTCCTCAGTACTAGACCAGCTTTTACCCTCTGCTCTATCACCCAGAAAACATTGCTAATTGTCATTTCGTCCTCGAAAAACAATTATTGCCCAGAAATGCTCTCCTATTGTACATTGACCACATACTGTTTTTTTTTCAATGTGTGTTACCATGACAAGCTACCTGTATGTTATTTTCAAATGATTCTCTAAATTAGCAGTCCACGTCTGCTCTCTGTGAGACGATTTCAACGATAAGCCTCTCCCCTGCAGTAACTGTTACTTATACAAAGATACACTAATTTACTTATCATACATTCGCCCAGAACTTTACCATCATGGCTGTACCCGTTATTTTACTGCTTTTGGCCCTCTCTCTGTGTACTGGTGTCACCAGTCAGCAAAACAATGATCTGTCCACTCTCGTATCGATGGTTCAGAGTCTGCAGCAGCAGATGAACGTCATGCAGACAGCTATCGACAGCGGTGCCAAGTGTAATGGAGTGAAGGGTAAGTGAATCAGGAGGTGCATTTATATGTTAGCTTCTGACGTTTCCCCTTTAAAGCTTGACCAAACTTAGATTATAAAATTATAAGGATTTTTTTCATAGTTGATTCAGAAGCGGCATTGTATCGATTGTGTGAGTTCAGCGTTTTGAAGTCTTCACAAACAAATAACGAGTAAGTTTGTCGTTAATAAGGTTAAAAAACAGCATAAAATATGCATATATAATTAAAAGAGTTAGTCTGCAATGAAACTTAGAATAACCATCGAAAAAACTGTTTTCAAACATCGCGTTTCAGCTAAATTTGGTCTTCTATTATATGCAATATTTTGCATGAATAATGATAGAATTTTGAAACAGACTATACTAAATTGTAGACACATTTGAGATACGGTGAATTATTTGCGTTCGTCTTTTCCGAAAGATGAATATGAGAACGCAATAACGTTTCGTATGACCTCACTCTCTATTCCCAGCCTGTCATTAACGTCAGTGCATTTAAAACGTCCTTATTCCCTTCATCTACAAGCTGTGAGAAACATTTGCACCAATTATACAGCTTTATTAAAAGTCAAGCAATTTCACTGATGCGATTGAACACGGAACTGTTTTTTACACTCCCGCAATCTTATCGGGAAGGGGCATGTCCATGTTTTCCAGCGTCAAATCATTTGATCCATATATACTCCATACGATCATAATACAATAGTCATCAGTCAGTGTTAAAGGGTCCAATGTCACACTTGAAAAATAATGCAAAGTCATCGGACATTGATACTGATTTACGTGGTAGCGGGGTTTTCACCTATTACAAATATCTTCTAGAATTACCGTAATTGATTGTAATAAAAACAATACAATGTGTTGTACTGCGTGTGTTTTTATAACAGTCGACCCACGTAACTGTAAGGATGTTCTGGAGTCTGGAAGAAATACATCTGGCAAGTATCTAGTATACCCCCCAACCTTGCAGGGCGTGGCACTTCCGGTTATGTGTGACATGGAGGATGACAACGGTGGATGGCTAGTAAGTAAAGTATGGGAGAAAAATGACTTACTCTGTTTTTCATCTACATAAGGAACCCAAAACCATTAACGTTTGTAACGTGCGAGTCTTGTGTCTATGGTCTAGGGTCTAGGCTAGAAGGGAACAGCGCGGGAACACCGGGTCCCTTCCGTATTTGTATCTTACTTACGAGTAAACTGTTACAATAAGGCGAGTCTGGGTTACAACAAGAAAACACCACGGCCCATATGTGTTTTGGTCTAGGTTACAAGGTAGAAACATCAGAGCCCATATGTGTTTTGGTCTAGGTTACAATGAGAAAACACCAGAGCCCATCTGTGTTTTGGTCTAGGTTACAATGTGGAAACACCTGAGCCTATCTGTGTTTGGTCTAGGTTACAATGTGGAAACATCAGAGCCTATCTGTGTTTTGGTCTAGATTACAATGTAGAAACACCAGAGCCTATCTGTGTTTTGGTCTAGGTTACAATGTGGAAACATCAGAGCCTATATGTGTTTTGGTCTAGGTTACAATGTGGAAACATCAGAGCCCATCTGTGTTTTGGTCTAGGTTACAATGTGGAAACATCAGAGCCTATCTGTGTTTTGGTCTAGGTTACAATGTAGAAACACCTGAGCCTATCTGTGTTTTGTTCTGGGTTACAACGAGAAAACACCAGAGCCTATCTGTGTTTTAGTCTAGGTTACAATGTGGAAACATCAGAGCCTATCTGTGTTTTGGTCTAGGTTACAATGTAGAAACATATCTGTGTTTTGGTCTAGGTTACAATGTAGAAACACCTGAGCCTATCTGTGTTTGGTCTAGGTTACAATGTGGAAACATCAGAGCCCATCTGTGTTTTAGTCTAGGTTACAATGTAGAAACACCTGAGCCTATCTGTGTTTGGTCTAGGTTACAATGTGGAAACATCAGAGCCCATCTGTGTTTTAGTCTAGGTTACAATGTAGAAACACCTGAGCCTATCTGTGTTTTGGTCTAGGTTACAATGTGGAAACATCAGAGCCCATCTGTGTTTTAGTCTAGGTTACAATGTGGAAACACCTGAGCCTATCTGTGTTTGGTCTAGGTTACAATGTGGAAACACCTGAGCCTATCTGTGTTTTGGTCTAGGTTACAATGAGAAAACACCTGAGCCTATCTGTGTTTGGTCTAGGTTACAATGTGGAAACATCAGAGCCTATCTGTGTTTTGGTCTAGGTTACAATGTGGAAACATCAGAGCCTATCTGTGTTTTGGTCTAGGTTACAATGAGAAAACACCTGAGCCTATCACCTGAGCCTATCTGTGTTTTGGTCTAGGTTACAATGTGGAAACATCAGAGCCTATCTGTGTTTTAGTCTAGGTTACAATGTAGAAACACCTGAGCCTATCTGTGTTTTAGTCTAGGTTACAATGTGGAAACATCAGAGCCCATCTGTGTTTTGGTCTAGGTTACAATGTGGAAACACCTGAGCCTATCTGTGTTTTGGTCTGGGTTACAACGAGAAAACACCTGAGCCTATCTGTGTTTTGGTCTAGGTTACAATGTAGAAACATCAGAGCCTATCTGTGTTTTGGTCTAGGTTACAATGTAGAAACACCAGAGCCTATCTGTGTTTTGGTCTGGGTTACAATGTAGAAACACCTGAGCCTATCTGTGTTTTAGTCTAGGTTACAATGTGGAAACATCAGAGCCTATCTGTGTTTTGGTCTAGGTTACAATGAGGCGTGTCTAGGTTACAACGAGAAAACATCAGATCCTATTTGAGTTTGATACCAGATTATGATGATTGTCTAGATTATGACGATGGCGATATGAATATCGTGAAACCCCGTCCATTAATTGGATTTTGAAATTCAAGACACTTATGGATTGTGTTGAAATCTATGCCAGAGAAAGGGTAAAACAAGAACATGCTGCGTTGGATTTACTTTCTGGGTGGGTTAAGGCCATTCGGTCCATCTATCGTAAGATAATTTGCAGCTTGAAATTGACAACAAAACACAGGTCAGTTTTCCTCGATCAGGGTTACAGGCTTATTGTGATACTGTTTACTTAATAGTATGTGGATTTTAAAGAACTTCAAAGAGCTGTTGACCAATTTTCAACACCCCCTTCTAAAAACGTTTCTTCTGTAAGGACTTTTGATTTTTCCACCCTGTACGTCACCATACCCCATCCTAAACTGAAAGAACGCTTTCGTTCAATTGTTATGAGGACTTCCTTCTCAAAGAACGGCGGTGTAAATATATTGTTGTGAGTTAAACTGAAGTGCATTTCATAAGATTGACAATAAAATAAAAAAAGAAATGTACGGAGGACGAAATCATAAAAAAAAAAAATGATCGAGTTTCTGGTTGGCAGCATCTGCCAACAGACTATTGGCATACCCCTCTGTGCATTTTTGTTGTCTGACTCCTTTTTGTTTTCATTCGAGGCTGAAATTATTGAAGAGCTTACCAAATTAGGTAACAAAAACCCTACAAAGTTGTTTAATTTCACCTTAATATATATTGATGACGTTTTGTCTTTAAATAACTAGTAAATTATTGACTACGTCTATTGTATATATCCCCCAGAACTGGAAATAAAAGACACGACAGACTCTTCTACATCAGCTGCCTATCTCGATCTTTTCCTACAACGAAACAAACATGGATAATTTCCTTCAAGCTGTATTATAAGCGTGATGATTTCAATTTCCCTATAGTTAATTTTCCACTTCTAGATAGCAATATCCCTGCATCTTAAATCATTCAATATTCAATGGCCTGTTCCCATTATTACGATTTTCGTGCAAGAAATCGTCAACTGATTGCCAAACAATTCGTAACGCAGGTTTGTGAAGTCATACTAGTTTAATTATCGCCATAGTGATCTAATAATGAAATGTTCTATTTCCTTGTGTGACATGAAGCTGGGCGTATTGGATGTTCGTTAGTTTGCCTGTTTGTTCCATTGTTGTATACCTTGTTCTCGTGTGAGAACGTGACTGAATGATAAGAGCGATGATATACATTTCCCGACAGTGAATGTTCCATCCCTGGCAAGCAACATTCATGCATTCCCAACATATGGTATTAACACAGTTGATTCGATATTCGAGTGCATGTTTCCTGCTATTTCGTCAACTGACGGATAAACTCATTGCACAGGGTTTTAAAGGATACAGATTGATGAAGATCTTGGTCCCTCTGGGAAATACTCAATAACACTAATATTATGATATATTTGCCACATTGTATCGTTGTTGTTTACCTGGTTCTTATTTGGGAAAGTGATATCACTTACCTTAACTGATTAAGGTTTCCATGGCGGCTGTCGTCGATAAAGCAGAAGGCGCTTATTCTTTCGGAACAGATGGGGTTACTCTTCTTGTACTTTTTCATGAGTCTTCATTTAAACCACTTTTATTTTTGCCTTAGTTTAATTGACTGAGTTTAAATTAAGATTCTATTGACATTTCGGAACGTCTTAGTTGTTCGAGATGAAGTCACATGACAAGGTTTCCGTCGTATCATTTTCCCCAGTTTACATAGGACTTGAGTTCCGACACTAGAATCTAGAATCGTATGAAAAGTCGATCAAAACTTCAAAGTAATTCGGTCAAGTTGTCCAGTATTATCTTCAATTGAACAATGTTGTCTGTTATTTACTGTAATGCTTGTTGTCTAATGAAAATCGTCTGTGGTCTTTTGAACCACAGAGTATGTTTCCATCGCCTTTACTTAACCATGAGCCCTGTGTTTGTTGTCTACTAAATAACGGGTCCTTTGTTTATTGACTACTGAACAACGGGCCCTGTGTTTATTGACTACTGAACAACGGGTCCCGTGTTTGTTGTCTACTGAATAATCGAGCCTGTTTGTTGTATACTAAAGAACCAGGTCTGTCTTGGTTGTGGACTGAACAACGGAAAATGTGTTTATTGACTACTGAACAACGGGCCTTAAGTGTATTGTCTACTGAACAATGGGCCCTATGTTCATTGACTACTGAACAACGGGTCCCGTGTTTATTGACTACTGAACAACGGGCCTTAAGTGTATTGTCTACTGAACAACGTGCCTTATGTTCATCGACTACTGAACAACGGGTCCCGTGTTTACTGACTACTGAACAACGGTCCTTAAGTGTATTGTCTACTGAACAACGGGCCCTATGTTCATCGACTACTGAACAACGGGTCCCGTGTTTATTGACTACTGAACAACGGGCCCCGTGTTTGTTGTATACTAAAGAACTGGATCTGTCTTGGTTATGGACTGAACAACGGAATGTGTGTATGTTGCCTACTGTACAACGAAATCTGTGTTAATTTCGGCTAAACTAAGGAATTTATCTTTACGGTTTTATATCTGTCGACAATCTTCCGAACAATGTAGGCGTTTTGGACAAACCATGGCAGACATTGTCGAGTTTAACATCAGTAAATAGCGCTAAATACCAGCAGTTATTTCCAATAACCATCGGTCGTTTCTATTTGACAATGTCACCGGCAATTTACGTAAATACGCTACATCCGAAAATAGATCTTCTTTTAACGTTAATTTGGGGAACATTTGTCTATGCTTTTGTTGATGTTACGACCATCTCGCACGGATCCAACAAAGTCAGAGAGATTCTATATACTCGGTCAGACTTATCTAATTATACCATTTTAATAATACATGTATCATAAGTTTATTTCTGGAAATATCGACGAATTGTTGGGGATGGGACAATACAGTGTCGTGCAGGGGGTTGAGTGTCTTTCATATAAGATATTATATGAATGAATCATAGCAGTAAGATGGCCCTCATAATTCTTCTGAAATAGATAATACAGACGAGACAGGATGGCAGCGAAAATTTTTTCCGTAGTTGGAAAGACTATGAAGATGGCTTCGGTAATCTTACATCCGAACATTGGCTTGGTGAGTTGTCTCCCTTACACGATTTACTCGCCGACGTATTATATGTAACTTCATATAGCTTTGTTACATAATGGTGATTGAAAAAATAATTCTGATTCGTGAAAAATAAATTGAGTAACGTTTTTGGAATTGATTTTCTTATTATTGGTAATATGATTAAATAACTTCCTTAAATATGTCCCTAATGATGTTAAAATAAAAAATGATAGGCATTAAAACAACGAAAACATAACAAAACATATTAGGATATTGATCTATAATGAATATACAAATTAAAAAATAATCACAAGCACTCGTGTACTTCTTTTCATTGGGACATGTTTCTAAATCAACTTTGACATCCATTGACGGTTTAAAAACGTAATGTTATTAAATCGTTGGAATTCGGCAGGAAACAAGAACATCCACGCCCTGACTGCCAGTGGTTTGTATGAACTGCGAGTGGTCCTCGAGGATTTTCAAGGGAACCGGAAGGTGGCCAACTATCGCTCGTTCTCTGTCGGTGATGCTTCGTCAAAATATCGTCTGTCCATTGACGGGTACTCCGGGGACGCAGGTCAGTATCAAGTGACTCGTATCTATACTTAAATTGTTGTTCACAGTAATATTTTATGTCCTGTTATTATCTTACCGGGGGTGGCGTATAGTGTTACTAATGTCCGTTCCGTCCCGAGTCTTTAAGGTCAAAGTCACTGACTATATGATATACTTACGGCCGCTGACGTCACGTGGATACAGACTACACCATCAAATGCTGGTCTCAGTAGAAGTAGTCATGTCCTCTGACGGGTGATATTCCAGCAATTCACAAACTCAAATGCCATTCCCTTGGTAACCATCGGCAAGTTTCTTGCTTGAAAGCAAATATTCATCTCAAAGCCAATAATAAATGTATAAATTTGAAAATTTAATGTAGGATTATTTTATAACAAATAACTACGCATAACAGCATGCGTGATATGACGTGACGTCATCGACAGCTAATTCGTTCTACCAAAGTATTCAAAATTCATTCATTAGTGGGCTCATAACATTCCAAAACGGAAATGTGTAAAAATGTAAAATATAAAATCTTTGCCCTGAGAAATTCGTTAATTATTTGTTGTTTATTGTTTGTGGACATTATAAGGTATTTGAATATTTTATGATATTGTAGTTATGTTTTTGTTTGCGTCAAAAACACCATGTTAGTATGTCAACTGATATTTCATTCATACGAGAAAGAAGTTCCAACAGACCCGCCGCAAGATGGCGTGTTACCATTGACTTCTCCAATCATTATCAAGTGGGCGGAGCTAGATGTTCGTGTGTGTGGGAGTTTTCTTCCAGAAAGAAAAAAAAACACGAATCAGTGGGCTGCAAACAACGAAAAATTAATTACTTGTACTTAGATATGATACATAAAAAGTAACTACGGAGATAATTCCCTTAGTAACGATTTTTGATGTTAACATCTGACTCACAAAAAAGTATTACAACGACTTTAGGTACCTTGGTAACAATTTTTGCTGTGCCTCGCAAAAATTCGGACACAGCTGTGGCTCCCATTTAGAACTTCTGTGTTTTTCTCCCATAAGGTGATTCCTTAAAGTTTGACCACGATGGTCATGCCTTCTCCACGGCAGACGCTGACAATGATGGTGCTCAGTCTGTCAACTGTGCGCAGACGCACTCCGGGGGTTATTGGTACAGTGACTGTTTCAAATCCAACATCAACGGCAAGTATGGTGTCAAAGCAGAGACTGGTATTATCTGGGGATCGTTCAAAAACTGGGAGTTGTACGTACTAAAGAAGACGGAAATGAAAATTAGACCAGTTCCGGTTTAACAAAATAAAACATTTGTTCAAATTTGGGCATTCCTTGTATGGTGTTCTTGAAATGATCAAATAACCATTGTAACGTAACCTACTACATAGGCATATGTTGAATTTAAATAAAACAACTGAGATAACGACATTGCTTTTTGTTTATTTAATAGTTTGATTTTTGCTCATGAGAACCAGAGAAAATATGTGAAATTTGTTAAGATATGAGAAAAGTCTCGGTAAATCTGATATAAAAACACTTCCGACGTAAAATGCTAATTGTGTTCACAGGAAATGGAAAATATCAGTGTTACATTTCTTGTTTCCTCTTCTCACGGGTGCATTCATGAAGTTACGGTAAGGAAAATAGAGAAAGTTTTAAATATACTGAATGCAGTCAGCTTAGTTGAATTACGAGCAAAATGGCTGGTTGGCTTTGGTTTACCTTATTGTGAACGTAAAGTGAACGTATTTCTATCGTAGTCAAACTGTTTCAGGTGTCCGTATTGACCCAAAGTGTTCGTGGTCCTAACCGTACTGCTGTATTACTATGGTCAACTACTATAAACATTACCGTCAATTAAGATTAACTGCCGTCAACTTAGGGTCTTGGCATGCACGCTTAGCGTAAGCTATTTTGATCTTATTGAAAAAAATGGACTAACCACAGTCAAATCATTATTTGTAGTTCAAATATTGTACAATAGACACACAAGGGGATAGCACCTTTTCATAATTTAGAGTAAGATACAACAGAGCCAAACAATGAATTGAACTTCATCATACAGCTGTTTCGTCCTTCTGGGGCTCGTCAGTGATGCTACATCATACAGCTGTTTCGTCCTTCTGGGGCTCGTCAGTGATGCTACATCATACAGCTGTTTCGTCCTTCTGGGGCTCGTCAGTGATGCTACATCATACAGCTGTTTCGTCCTTCTGGGGCTCGTCAGTGATGCTACATCATACAGCTGTTTCGTCCTTCTAGGGCTCGTCAGTGATGCTACATCATGCAGCAGTTTCGTCCTTATGGGACTCGTCAATGATGCTACGTCATACAGCTGTCCTTCTGGGGCTCGTCTACATCATACAGGGCTCGTCAGTGATGCTACATCATACAGCTGTTTCGTCCTTCTAGGGCTCGTCAGTGATGCTACATCATACAGCTGTTTCGTCCTTCTAGGGCTCGTCAGTGATGCTACATCATACAGCTGTTTCGTCCTTCTAGGGCTCGTCAGTGATGCTACATCATACAGCTGTTTCGTCCTTCTGGGGCTCGTCAGTGATGCTACATCATACAGCTGTTTCGTCCTACTAGAACTCGTCAGTGATGCTACATCGTACAGCTGTCACGTCCTTCTAGGACTCGTCAGTAATGCTACATCATACAGCTGTTTCGTCCTTCTAGAACTCGTCAGTGATGCTACATCATACAGCTGTTTCGTCCTTCTGGGGCTCGTCAGTGATGCTACATCATACAGCTGTTTCGTCCTACTAGAACTCGTCAGTGATGCTACATCATACAGCTGTTTCGTCCTTCCAGGGCTCGTCAGTGATGCTACATCGTACAGCTGTTTCGTCATTCTAGGGCTCGTCAGTGATGCTACATCATACAGCTGTTTCGTCCTTCTGGGGCTCGTCAGTGATGCTACATCATACAGCTGTTTCGTCCTTCTAGGGTTCGTCAGAAATGCTACATCATACAGCTGTTTCGTCCTTCTGGGGCTCGTCAGTGATGCTACATCATACAGCTGTTTCGTCCTACTAGAACACGTCAGTGATGCTACATCATACAGCTGTTTCGTCCTACTAGAACACGTCAGTGATGCTACATCATACAGCTGTTTCGTCCTACTAGAACTCGTCAGTGATGCTACATCATACAGCTGTTTCGTCATTCTAGGGCTCGTCAGTAATGCTACATCATACAGCTGTTTCGTCCTTCTAGGGTTCGTCAGAAATGCTACATCATACAGCTGTTTCGTCCTTCCAGGGCTCGTCAGTAATGTTACATCATACAGCTGTTTCGTCCTTCCAGGGCTCGTCAGTAATACTACATCATACAGCTGTTTCGTCCTTCCAGGGCGCGTCAGTAATGCTACATCACGCAGCTGTTTCGTCCTTCTAGGAATCGTCAGTGATGCTACATCATACAGCTGTTTCGTCCTTCTATTGTTCGTCAGTGATGCTACATCATACAGCTGTTTCGTCCTTCTGGGGCTCGTCAGTGATGCTACATCATACAGCTGTTTCGTCCTTCTAGGGCTCGTCAGAAATGCTACATCATACAGCTGTTTCGTCCTTCTAGGGCTCGTCAGTGATGCTACATCATACAGCTGTTTGTCCTTAGAACACGTCAGTGATGCTTCATACAGCTGGCTCGTCAGTGATGCTACATCGTACAGCTGTTTCGTCATTCTAGGGCTCGTCAGTAATGCTACATCATACAGCTGTTTCGTCTTTCCAGGGCTCGTCAGTAATGCTACATCATGCAGCTGTTTCGTCCTTCTAGGACTCGTCAGTGATGCTACATCATACAGCTGTTTCGTCCTTCTATTGTTCGTCAGTGATGCTACATCATACAGCTGTTTCGTCCTTCTAGGGTTCGTCAGTGATGAAACATCATACAGCTGTTTCGTCCTTCTAGGGCTCGTCAGTGATGCTACATCATACAGCTGTTTCGTCCTTCTAGGACTCGTCATTGATGTTACATCATACAGCTGTTTCGTCCTTCTAGGGACTCGTCAATGATGCTAGGGTGCCTAAATACATGTTTCGTCCTTCTATTGTTCGTCAGTGATGCTACATCATACAGCTGTTTCGTCCTTCAGAGTGAGTGATGAAACATCATACAGCTGTTTCGTCCTTCTAGGGCTCGTCAGTGATGCTACATCATACAGCTGTTTCGTCCTTCCAGGGCGCGTCAGTAATGCTACATCATGCAGCTGTTTCGTCCTTCACAATCGTGTGATGCTATATACAGCTGGTCCTTCTATTGTTAGTCAGTGATGATACATCATACAGCTGTTTCGTCCTTCGAGGGTTCGACAGTGATGAAACATCATACAGCTGTTTCGTCCTTCTAGGGCTCGTCAGTGATGATACATCATACAGCTGTTTCGTCCTTCTAGGACTCGTCATTGATGTTACATCATACAGCTGTTTCGTCCTAGGAGTCGTCAATGATGCTAGGGGCCTAAATAATGAAGCCTAGGAGGCGACTAAAGAAAATCCAGAGTGATCAAACGAGAAGTCAAAATCTAGACAGGGTGGTGCCTACTGGACAGAACTGCAGTTCCACAATGTATCTATATAAGGGTCACCTGCGGTGTATCTACACTGCGGTCAACTACGGTGTATCTACACTGCGGTCAACTACGGTGTTTCTACACTACGGTGTATCTACACTGCGGTCAACTACGGTGTATCTACACTACGGTGTATCTACACTGCGGTCAACTACGGTGTATCTACACTACGGTCAACAACGGTGTATCTACACTACGGTGTATCTACACTACAGTCAACTACGGTGTATATACACTACGGTCAACTACTGTGTATCTACACTACGGTCAACTACGGTGTAACTACACTACGGTCAACTACGGTGTATCTACACTACGGTGTATCTACACTACAGTCAACTACGGTGTATCTACACTACGGTCAACTACTGTGTATCTACACTACGGTCAACTACGGTGTAACTACACTACGGTCAACTACGGTGTATCTACACTACGGTCAGTTATGATGTTTCTACACTACGGTGTAGGTCTCCGATGTGAGTTACTGTAAGATGAGTTCACGGCTTTATCGCTGATAGTTTTGACAGATATTTTAGTCTCGAGATTTCATATCACTAACAATCAATCATAACCTCGCTCTTTCCATGCAAACTTACACAAACAAAAAATACATATTTATAGCTGATGAGAAGTAGCACAACTTTTCGGTCGTGCAAGGAAAATCATAAACTTATAAAATCGCATTTATCTACATATTTATATGTACTCATGGGGTTCATACGACCGATAAGAAAAGAACTTGTCACCAGAATATGGGTGTGGTATGTAAACAGAGGCATATTGGTAGACCAATATGTCCACACAACCGGATCTGGAAAATGGAAACTATCACTGCAAGATATGCTCGACCACGGCATATTCCGTGTGACGCCGTATGAATGGAAGGTTACTAGGTAGAAAATATGGCTACTTTGTCCTGTGTGTGGTCGCGCCGGTTGTGTAACAGGAATCTTATACAGTCGAACTTCGTTATCTCGAACTCGTATAACCCGAAGACCTCGTTTAATTCGAGGCATTTCGTCGGTCCCTGCCTAACTTTACACAAAACATTCGTAACATTTAAATCGAATACTCTCTTATCTCGAAGTCATCCTGTGGTCCCGTCGAGTTGGTGCTAAAACCGTTCGATTATGACTGAAATTTAGTGAGTAAAATATGGAAAAGACATTAAAAATGGTTCTTAGACAAAATGGCCCTGCTTTTATGTTTTATGACATTTTCTCCTTTTTACCAATAAATATATATTTTTATGATTACTGCACCAGAATGTCACTTAAACCAGTTCTGTATACCACGTAAGACTACCATTCACCCACACTTGTCTGGTAGACCTGAATTACGTCTCGACAGATATTTTATTCTTAAGTTATGTCTTACACAACGGCAGTTGAGTGTACCACAATCCTACCTTCACATAACATGTAACCATAACAATCTGGCATAAACCTCGTGACATTGACATGTATAGTTAAAGGTAGGCTCCGCTGGGGAAAATGGTAACTTTCCTTTAGAACTGAACACAGGTGATCTACAAATTTCAGATAGTTTCACCGAGTTCGCAACACTGACATAACCAATGAAGGAAATCTTGATCTGATCTTAATTGTCAGACTGACTATATAACATGAAAAATTGGCCGCTATAGTTAGCCTTCCTGTGGTCTAGAGATGTGCACGTCACCTCCCTGTATACATTGGTTTAAAACAAAACAGT